GGGGCCCGGCCCGGTGGGGGGCGGTGTCGGCGCGGGGCGGCGGTCGGTGACCTGGGCCCTTCCCGGCGGCGTCGGCCGCGGCTCCCCGGCAGCCGGCGGAAACTCTTTGCACGGGGAGCTGTCCTTCGTCCCGTCATGGCGTTCCCCGGGGGCAGTCGTGGGGCTGGTGACCTCTTTAAGCTGGTGGCTGGGGAGATGCTGGAAGAAAACCCGTCTGAGCGGCGGATGTGGAGCCCTGCCCTCCCCAGATGCCGCTGTCGGTGCTTTAGGGGTAACAGGCGAAGGCTGGAGGCTCTGTGTCGAGCAGGAGGGAGGTTTGAGTTACCCTTCAGCATCTAACAAATGTATTTAGGGAGAAAAAAAGGACTTTCTTAATCATTCCCTTTTAGCTAGTGCGCCTAATGGGTAAGTGCTTGTAACAGATGCTTCCTCAGGTGGTCCTCCAGCAGCGTGAGGGGGGACTGTGTCTCACATTTATAACTAAAGCAAAACCCAAGAACTTTCCCAGTTTTCTCTATTAATAAAGAGACACCCAGACGGGACGGTCCTTTGCAAAACTATTTAAATATTTGGTGAAAATCATTATGTGGAAGTGGGAACCCCCTGAACACTCCAGGGAATGCGCCGAAGGCTTCTTTGGCGTTAACACAGACTTTAATTACAGCTGTAACCCTGTGCTGTCAGCGCTAATGAGTTACAGCAGGTCGGCGGTGCTAACTGTGGCCACCAGACCTATTCCTGCCGCGGAGGGAAGCTGCTGTTGCAGAAGTCCGGGCTCATCTGCACGTTGCTGCTGATGACAGATACCAAGATACTTTGTCTTCTGACAGGAAAATGAAATTTGGCCAAATTTCTGCTCCTGCTTCAGGGTCCTGGGAGATGCCTTGGCCTCTGCAGCAGCGTCTGCTCACGCTTGTGCAATATCTTCCAATAGATAAACCCTCTCACACTGTAGTAAGGAGAACGTGTGCTCTCTTGTGTGAAACTGTTTCCTCTCGTAATCTTACGATAGAATGGGTGATATGAAAAATATCTGGTGTTCCTGTAGGAATGAGAGTTATATGGAAGAGAGGAGGAAGCCAGAGTAGGTTAACGCTGACTGCTGAGGTACTGGGAAGGCTTTGGAAAATGGCCTCTCCGTTCGCTGGCCCCACAGCGGTTGCTGATGTAATTAAAGATCTAGACACTCAGATAGCTGTAAGTAAAGTGTCGGGGCTGGCATGCGGGATTTGTTCTGGGAATCTGCGCATTCCGTTAGTTTTGTGTTTGGTGATCTTAATGGCACGCAAAGGGTGCGATAAGATCTGCAAATAAATGAACAAAATGACTTTATGCTAATAAAGTGCATTCTGCCCAAGGATCTCGGCGCTTTCTACCCTGCATGGTGGGTAAGAATTCCTGCTTTGTGGATTTGTAAACTGAGGCATGGGGATGAGCGGCCTGAGATCAGCCTAAGCTAAAACCAAGACTAGCACACTGAAGTCCCTCCTGATCTTGTGCTGAGCTCCTCGTCCAGAAACGCCATCTGAGGGGCTTTAGGGTGTGGATGTAATGGTTTTCCATTGTTAATTAGTTAAAATTGAGCTAGGAATTTGCTGAGGGTGCTACAGAAATGTGTCTTGGATATAAATTCTCCTAAAAAGGCTCCGTGTCTGTAGGTGCGGCAGTGCATGAGTGTGCCTTGGAATGAAGCACTAAAGCAGCCGTTTCTCAGTACTCCTGTGTGACTTCTGGTTTGTGTTTTGGTATGAATTAATCCAAACTAACAAAGCTTGCCCTGATGAGGGGAAAACGTCTGTTTGTAGCTCAGGTAGCAGATGCTCTGTTCATCACTTTGTATGCGAACATGCTGTAAAGCTGTTTAAACAAATTCCCTTTTTCTCTCGTAAGTAAGTTCACCCTGAAATGCATGGGCTTTTCAGAAAAGGCGTCCACTTTCAGCGGCTGCTTCTCACCCATCTCTGGGTCCAACCGCTGCTGCAGCCGCTGTGCTGTGCGAGGGGCTTTTGCATCAAACTCTTCATTAAATGCTTGTTTCGCATGACAGGCCTGTCGCCGCTGCCCACACCTCTTGTCGGGGTGGAAGGCCCAGGGTTTGGACGAGTTTCCTTTCACGGAGCAGTGGGGACAGAGCAGAGCTTCACTGAGCCTGGATTTCAGAGCGTTCCAGCAATGAAATATAGTAGTTGCCAGTCAGTCTGTGTGTTAGCTCAGCGGCCAATACCTGAATAACTTCAGGCACCGAAGGGTGAACCTGGAAGATCCAAGTAACCACTTAAGCCACCGCAACCCACTTCTGGTTCACCGTTAACAGCTCAGTAAACCTGACTTCGTTTACTGTGGCTGTCAGTTGCCTGGTGTGGGAAGAACAAATCGAAGGTGTGGGTCTGCGCGTGTGTTTCTCTGTCGCCTCTGAGCACCCAGACTTGTGCTCTCAGAAGCAAAAATGAACCCTACGTTGTCAAGCCCGCATCGAGGGATTGCTGCAGGTCAGGCTCAAAGCGTGGTGTTGCCGAAAATGAGATCTCCACTCTGTGGCAGCCACCCAAGGGAGCCTGAACCCTGTCTTCTTCTCAGGCCCACGGAGTGTGGAGATAAACACTCAAAACTCTGCGCCTGCCGTTCCCCTGCATTGCTGCCACAGGAGCAAGCTGTGTCCGTTAGTTAAATCTTCTTTGCATGGTGTCTTCCTCGAAGCTGTTTGTGGTCCAAGTGAAATGTGTTCAGAAAGGCCCTGACCGGAGGGCGAGGGGTGGGCGCGCGGGTGGGATTCAGCCCAAGGAACGAGCAGGCGGGTCAGTGCCGCTGCGGAGCTGCCGCCTCTTGGCAGTGCGCTGCGTGCAGCTGCTGTGCTTTTCGTGGCAAACTTCATATTCCATATACCAGGGAATGTTTTCTCTTCTTCTAATCATTGTTCCTCCCTTCCTGCTGTGTCCAGAGAGACCCGATCTTCTGTAACCTCTGGGCCCCATCAGGACACTGCAGTTTACTCTGGACAAAGACGTGATCTCCCTGTTGAAGTCCTTCTCTGTTTGCTAACTGTGGCTTTCGTTTCCTTTTCCAGTTGATTGGCTTGGGTCCCCACAACCCCAAGAAGAAGCAGGACTTAGATAAGCTTTATGATCTAAAAGCTAAAGCCCAACAGATTATGAACCAGTTTGGCCCTTCTACCTTGATCAACCTCTCCAACTTCTCCTCGATAAAGCCAGAACCAGCCAGCACTCCCCCGCAGAGCTCCATGGCCAACAGCACCACCGTGGCAAAGATGCCGGGGACGCCCAGCGGAGGTGGACGGCTCAGTCCTGAAAGCAACCAGGTAATTTCATCCCCAACTTCAGGACAACGGGGGAGATGCTCAGACCTGCCTGTGGCTTAATTCCTCTCCTTCCTTAAACTACCAGCAAAAACTTAATGCCTATTAAAGTATCAGTTACTGAGGTAGCAAACATTTTCATGTATTTCTTCCCTCCCAGGCACTTTCAGGCTAGATGGGGTATGGACGCTGTAGATGTAGAGGTTTTTTTCAGTCTCAGGAAAATGTATATTGGGGGTGTGATTGGGAAATTCTTTTAAAATGTGGTTTAGATGGGAGAAATAAAAGTGCAGGTTTGTAGCCTCTGTCTTACTGGGGTGGTGTGAGAGGCAGCATCGCTGCCAGGAGCTGCTGACTTGCGTGTTTGCTTGTTGTGGTGTGGAGTCTTTGGCGGGCATAAAATATGCTGCTGCCCAGCAAGTGCTCCAGGAGCGCACCCCAAACCTCTGTGGGCTTCACTGGTGCTGTGACCTCTCTGGGAAGCGTACTTGTCCCCTGGCATACACACATGCATGGCAGTTCCACCCGTGGTGGAAGGGAACCAGGGAGGGCCAGAGTTTCCCACGTGTGTCTGCTTCATCTGACCAGGCTGACAGATCAGTGGTGATAACTGTCATCCAGATCCTATAAGACTGCTGTTGTTGTCCTGCTGTTGTTCAGCAGCTGTAAAATTTTTGTTTCCTGCCATGTTTGGGCTGAGAGGGTGCTGCCTTCTGCCCTAGAATAACCCAGCACTCGCATATCTCTCAGTTTTCCATTTGAAACACTACAGCTGATAAGTGCTAGAGCCATGGAAATACTTCCTTTGTGCCCTGAGCACAAATTTAGTCACTGATAACGTTGCTTGCACTTGCTGTCTGCCTCTTAAGACTTCTGGTTTTGCCTTTGTCCCCTCTTGCCAGCAGCCTTGCTTCAGCCAGTGGCATTTTAGTGCCAGTTTAGTGCAGGAGACTTATTTATCCTGGCCTGCTGCATTCCACTTTCTGTTCAGAGCAACCACTGGTGCTTGAAAATGTCTCCTTAACACCTGATATTTCTTATCTCTGCCATTCCTGAACTGATAAGCTGTGTCAACACCTGTGACTTGGGCCTCGGGGGTAGAGGGGGAGGCTACGGCTGTGCTGTGTGAGCAGCTGCTCTGCTAAAGTAGGGCAGTAAATCATTCCTCTTCTCCCACACGCTCAGGTTTTAACCAAGAAGAAATTGCAGGACCTGGTGCGTGAGGTGGATCCGAACGAGCAGCTGGATGAAGATGTGGAGGAAGTAGGTACCAACCCATGGCAGGGGCTGCAGGAAGAGCTAATCTGGGATTTTTCACGGACCGGTGGCCCTTTGTCCAAGGCAGGGAGGGTTGGTTCACATAACACTGCTGTATTCTCATGTTTGCGGCAGCCTTCAGCTCATCCCTGTCTGTTTCTGCATCCCGGCGTCCAGAAGGGTTTTAAAACAGCAATCACAGCAAACGCCTTTGAAATACTAGCTTCTGCGAGTTCATTTTCATGCTTTCTGCATTATTTCAGCTGCTCAGTACCGATAAGACTGGTTGTTGTCCTTGTTCTGCCACAGATGCTGTTGCAGATCGCCGATGATTTCATAGAGAGCGTGGTAACGGCTGCCTGCCAGCTTGCACGGCATCGCAAGTCAAACACCCTGGAAGTGAAAGACGTCCAGTTACATCTTGGTGAGTGATTTTTTTTTTTTATTTTTTTTTTCTCCTCAGGTGAGAGCTGGGCGCACGCCCTGCAGTCAGGGCACGGCCACGGTCTTGGGGTGGAAACCCGTGAATAGCTACAGATTCATTGCTACTTAGTAATGCCTTAATAATCAGGGGATGAACGGGGTGTCTGCCCCTAACCATCCCCTCTCCAAATTTTGCAGTTGTGCAGTTTGTAGCTGTCCATCAGCCTGTGTTGGAAGGTCCCTAGCACAAGGATTGCGTCTTTACCATGTTTAATGCTGTGCAGCCCTCCGCTGCTCTGCTTTTGTGAAGCTTTTATAGCTGGTGTGCGGATCACCGGCACGTCTCTAGCACCGGCTCCAGGCGGGCGTGCTGCCGGTATGTTTGGGATGACGAGGCCACTCTTGGCGGTGGGCGCTTGGGGTAGAGTGTGCTGACCTGCACTCTCTCTTCCAGAACGTCAGTGGAACATGTGGATCCCGGGCTTTGGTTCTGAAGAAATCAGGCCCTACAAAAAAGCCTGCACTACAGAAGCTCACAAACAGGTAAGGACCCCTCAGAATCGCATGGTAGAAGCCTGATACAGGGAGGGTGGTCTTGGACTCCTGGCACGACCTGACTTTGTAGCTTCTTCCAAGTAGTTTGGACTTGAAATAACTTCCGGAGTCTCCTCGCCTGTTTGTGCAGAGAGGATTGGAGTTGCTCTGGCTCCTCTGCAGCGGTGCAATGCTGGCTGTGCCCTAAGAGCGGCAGCAGCACTCGCTGTCTGGAGGGCAACCCAGCTTGGAAGGGATAAAAACCAGCTGAGAGCTGCAGACAGTAACCTGTCAGCTGCCCCCTTGCAGATCGTGTGCTCCCTCTTTGCGCAGAAAGGACTGAAAAGACACTGCTAACTCCTTTGGTCCAGTAGAAAATCCATACCCAGGCACGGGGGGTTACATGCTGGCGTAGCCCCTCGAAGCGCGGTCTGGGTGTTCCAGGTGAACCGCAGGGCTCCCTGGCAGGCTGCGGCTCGAGTTCCTGGGGCTGTTTTACGTCTGCAGCCCAGTGCTGCGCTCGGGCGTGCTGTGAGCAGCGTACGGCACGTCCCGTGTCTGTGCACGGGTTGGGCCGCTGGGCCGCTGGCCACCGTAAGAATTTAAACAGCTGCAAAAAGCCTGAAGGCCTGGGGAGGTGTAGCAGAGAGCACGCTGCTGCCCTGGGGCTTCAGCAGTAGGTTGGAGCTGAGCAGCTCTGGGTTTTTCCCCCTCTTAATTTTGCTTTAACTGAATGGGGCCAGCGCTTTTTAAGCGTACGGTCAGAGGCGGGGAAGGAGCTGCCCTGCAGGAGCCGTCGGAGTTTGTGGATGATTCCGCACCTCCCCTCCTGAAGCTCCCGCAGCAACTGCGGGCAGAGAGAGGAGGCCTCGGGGTGGGGTTTGGCCCCGTGCGCTGTTTCATCCCCTTGCCCCTCACTACTGTCAGCGCTTTACTTGCCAGCCCCGGGTGTCGAGGAGAGGAGCACAGACGCTTTCTTTTCCTCTGGCTCCAGCTTGGGACCACATCAAGATTCAAATGGACTCGAAAGACCTGTGTGGAAACAAGTCAGGCAGAGTCCTGAGAGAACCCGAGATACCTTGTTCCTGCACAGCCACGGGTTGTTTTGCAGTCACCTTGTCTGAGACGCTCGCCTTCCCGTGTTTTTCTCTTTCTTGTTACAGAGAATGGCACTGATTCGCAAAACCACCAAGAAATAACCCCTGGGAAGAGCCGGGAGAAGACGCCAGTGCATTTTGGGATATCTGCCTCTCCACTGAAGCCTACACGATGCCATCCATGGGATATTTTTTTTAATGCTTTACAGAGAAGCATATATTTTTTATTAATGGTGCAGCAATACCTTGACTTTATGAGGAGATCTGCCAAAAACATTCTACGCCCCCTTCCTCATTGGCCCTAAGAGTGCAACGTATCTCAAAACGAAGACTTTTATTTGTGACTTGAAAGTGGTTTATCGTATAAGTGGTTATCCGAGGGACAGAGCATTTGATCTTGCGTGGGACAGTATTAGAAGCATCTGTAGAGGTTTTTGTTTCCTCCTTCCTGCCCCTACCTGCTCCAGTACTTTGTAATGTCAGTGTTTATATAAATACTTGCGTTTGTTTTACATGAATAAAGAAATTATTAATCTAAAACCACGGCACAGTCTTGTGCTCTTCAGACAGCACGCAGAGGGACCGCTGGTGAAACGGGCGGCCTCCGCGCTGCCTGGTTTCTGCGTGTGGTGCTGTTCTGGTAAGAGATCTCCTGCCCTGGGGTTTGCAGTGAGGGGAAGGATTTGGCCGGGCTCTGCCGTGCTGACAGGGCTCGGCGGGCACTCCCCCTCTTTACGTCCAGCCCAGAGCGAGTCGTTTGCCCGTTGCTTGGCTGTTTGGACCGTTAGGAGTGGGGTACAGTGGCTGAGGACGGGAAATCGAGGTGATCCTGGTTCTCTCCTTGCCCGGGACATAAAGAAAGGCCACGTCCCCCTGCCTGTTCCTGCCTGCTCTGCTCGGTCTTCATCAGGGAAGCCGCAGGCGCTGTTTGCTGTGGTGGAGGAGCCGGCAGCTCTGCAAACTCCCCTGCCTGACGGGGAGGCTCCTGCACACCCGCGGGCAGGAGCGGGGCCCGTCCTCCCTGCCCAGCTCGCTGCGGGGGCCCTCGGGCTGCTGGTACCTGCAGGGGAAACCGCCTTTGCTGCAGTAATTCAGAAACCGGTACGGGCTCTCGCCTCCTCTCACGTAGGGGCCGGCTGAGGAGCGCGGGGAGCGCGATAAATGCCCGCAGCCTCCCAGGCGAGGCCGGTCTGATGGGTGCTCGGGGCGCAGGGAAGCTGTTCTCACACCCCAGCCGTGCTCGGCTGCTGCCGGGGGGACGTGGAGTGGTTCAGCGGCTGCTACAGCTCGGGGTACCCGGGAGGAGCTGCTGCTGTTCCAACCAGGCCGCTTTGCCCTCCGGAGCGTGGCGGAGGCCAGCTCTGAGTGAACGGGCCGGGTAGTGAAAGGGGTTTTGGATCAGCCCTGGTCTGACGTGGGACCAGGGCTGGGGGAGCGGCGGCTCTGCTCTGCGGGATGGGGGCAGCCTGGTAGAAAGGGGGTTGGGGAGAGAATGGAGGAACGGGGGTGACACTCGCCTCTGCAGAGCACTGCCCCATCCTGGTCCTGCCTGGGGACTTCGCCCTCCCCATGGGCAGCTCGGCACTGGCCGCTTCCCCTTCCCCAGGAAGAGACGGGCAGCCAGAGGTGAGCAGGGGGTGTTTAATGCGCCCTTGCAGTCGCTCGTGGCTCCTGCCTGCACCCCTGCTCTGCCTCACCTCCTCTGCACCGCGGTGGGCAGAGCCCGGCGTGTCCCAGGCCCGCCGGGGCAGGCTGCCAGCGTCCCCAGCTCTAGCACGAGCATCTTTTCTGCTTCTCTTCCTTCTCTGGTGCCCGAGCCTTGAGCGGCGCCGGCAGTGGGACGCTGCTCTTCACGCCATCCCACGCCTCGGTGGCAGCCAGCCGCCCCGTTTGCAGTGCCTGGTAGATGGCCAGCGTCAGCATCTGGAAAGCCTGGACCACGTTGCTGGCGTCCTTGGCCGAGGTCTCGATGTACTGCACTCCCAGCGAGGCCGCCAGCTTCTCCGCCTCCTTCCTGCCCACCCGCCGCTGCCCCGCCAGGTCGCTCTTGTGCCCCACCAGCAAGAAGACGATGCGGAATGGCTGGACCGTGTCCACCACCTCCCGGTGCCACTGCCGGACGCTCTCGAAGGACGCGCGGTTGGTGAGGTCGAAGAGCAGCATCCCCCCAGCCGAGTTGCGGTAGTAGGAGCGAGTCACGGACCTGGGACGCCAAGAGAACCGGGGTGAGCAGCCCCCGGGGCTCCCCGTGCTGCCATGGGCAGCGTCTCCCCTGCCTGCAGAGCAGCCCCAGCCGTGTCCTGCCCCCTGCAACCGGCACGTTGCTCCCAAGCTGCAGTAAGAGCATGAAGAATCGGCCCTTTTGCTGTATCAAAGTGGTCCAGGCAGCTCTGTCCCTGCACGGCCACCAGAGCTCATCTGTCCCCTGCAGCCACATCCCCCGAGCTCCCCCGTCCCCAGCAGCCAGCCCGGCCAGCGGCAGGCAGCCCCGGCAGGGAGCTGTGAAGGCTCCTGGCAGCTGAGCTGAAGAAGCCACTTTGCCCAGTGGGCTCCCAGCCTCTTCCCCCAGGCCTCTGCAGCTGCTGGGGCAGGGGGGTGCTTGGGGGCTCCGTACCCCCTTGGGAGCTGGAGCCAGGGCCTGCAAGGCAACCCCAAGGGCTCCTTTCCCTGGGGAACGCCCTTGGCTTTGGCTCATCCGGGCCCCTGCAGCCTGCCCGGCGCTGGGCACCGCGCTTCCATGGGGCTCCCCGCAGCCAGGGGACTGGTGGGGACCCAGCCGTATCGAGGACCTCCCTTGGGGCTGGGATCACAGCATCCCACCAGCACCCCAAGCCCACGGGGGACACCTCACTCCCAGGACCTCCCCAGCTCCATCCGAAAACCGCTCCTGCCCGGCCGTATCCCAGAACTGCAGCTTCACCCGCAGCCCCGGCTCCAGCTCCACAAACTGGACGTAGAAATCCACCCCCACCGTCTGGTTGACGGCGTCCAGGAAGACGCCCTCGGTGTAGCGTCGCAGGAGCGAGGACTTCCCCACCGTCGAGTCCCCCAGCATGATCACCCGGAACTGGTACTGCCACCGCGGCTCCATCGGCACCTCCGCCGTCTGCCGGGACCCGCCACCCCCGCGCCGGGCGCATGTAGAGGCAGGCAGGCAGGCAGCTCCCGGCGCCTTTGCTCCTCCACCCAAGAGGCGTTCCCACCTCGCCATGGCTGCTGGGTGGCCCCTTTGCTCCCTTTATCTTGGCTCCATCCAGCTGGAAGCGCTCCCGGGATGCCTGGTCCCATTTCCCCCGGGGTGGCCCTGGGACACGAGGCCCGGCAAGCGACAGGGCCACGTGCAGATGTGGACAACCCCCCCAGTAACTCCCCCAAAGCAGAGCATCCCCCATGTCACAGGTTGAGCACGCCGGCGTGTCCCTGCCAGGGGTCCGGCGCTCGGCGCAGCCTTTATTTAGTGCAGAAAAGCCTCAAGTTTATTAAAAACCCTCCTGCAGGGGAGCAGTATTTTTTCAGAGCCCCCAGATTAAGGCTTGAAGTGAACCCGAGCCAGGGTGGGGACGCAGCCCCGCGCATCGCCCAAGGGCAGGGGGCTGCAGGGCGGAGAAACGTCCCCGTGGGTGGGGGGTCCCGTGTCCCCCCATCAGCACTGGCAGCGCTCCCGGGGCTCCCCCCGCGCCGGGGGCCCGCGGCGGCTCTGGCTGGGGATGAGCCTGACGCCGCCGCAGCCCCGGTGAGGGGTGAGGGCCCCCTGTCCCAGTGCCCGCTGGATGCCCCCCGCCAGCGGCCGGGAAGG